GTGAATTTGTTGGTCATTTTCGCAAATCCAAAAAAAAGTTGGTTAAAATCGTATATTATAAAGCATTTTCGGTCACTGAGGTTATTTTCTCTTTTTGAAAAGCTGATTATATACCTCGTTAAATCAGTCTGTTAAACACTAGGTTTAGCCGTATTTTTAAAAGTGGAGTAATAATACCAGCAGTCCTACAACTTTCATGGAAATTTGCTTTTCAGCCTTTATTTCATCTTTTAACTTTCATGTTTTAGCATCCCTAAATTCATTCCTCTTGCATTTTCATCCCCTTTTAACTCTTGAAATAATTTTACATTTTTAAATGGTATTATTGGCGTTTTATTTTCTTTTTAGGTTTGCTCCTTTTTATTTTGATAATGTGGTCACTTAAATTCTTCACTTATTTTGTTTTATTTATTGTTACACCTTCAAATGTGTCGTAACAGTCCTTCAGGTGGGCCCAAAATCGGGCTTCGACTTAAATAAAACATATTAGAGCCGCCACCGATCATTTATTTTTTAGAAAAAATTTAGGTTGATCGGACACCTTAATTTACCCTCTTATCTGATCTGTGTTTTACCAGAAGTATGTCGGATTCGGGAGACAATTACAGTCAATGAAGGATTAGCACACATGTTCTACCCTTAAGGTACCAATTTAATTTCTCAGTTGTCTTAATGGCGAAAATTAAAATTAAAATTCAAATTTAAAAAGTTCGATCTGAATTACTTACCATTGAAGAATTTAAAATTAACCTAAAAATAAATTGAATCAATGTTAAACATTAAAGTAAAACAAAATTAAGTTAAATATAAAATAAAAACTTTAAACTAAAAGGATTTAACTGTGAAAATTTTAAAATTGAGGATCAAATTGATATTATTTGAAAGTTGCAAGAAAAATAAAAGTTAGGAGGGGTTAATTTGCAAAATATAAAAAATTTAAACATGAATTAAATTGAATAAATTTGAAATTTAAGGGCAAATTTACAATAGGTGACAAAAATGAATTATGCATCAAAACTACAGGGACTGCGAAAATAATTTAAGTATTTGCTAATTACACCAAAGTCCTCCTATAAATAGCCTTTAACACACCCAAAAATATCATTTTCACCCAAATTCAAAAAAAAACACTCCACAAACTCTCTCAACTCTCTCAACCTTTCCCCTCAATCGTCCATGGGTCGGCCACACTCCGACGAAGCTCCCACCATCCCGGCTACCGCCTCTCCAGCCACTACCACCGGTGGCCGAAAAAAAACCAAACTCACCCAAAATGTTCCCCTCGTCCCCCTAAGTTTAAACCCGAAGCCTAAATTCCCTAAAAATACCCCCACCGGCATAGATCTAAATGCAAAGATCAAGGCTTTACCTTTTTCGATGAGACCTTTTTGTTTTCTCAGTGACCTTTCACCTTCCGATGAAGCTCCTCCGCATCCCCAGTGTTCTCCCATGAAACAAAGTTTTAAACTTTGTTTTTCTTCACTTTCGGTTTCGAAAGTTTTCGCCTTTTGGTTTCGAACGTTTACCGAATGCTTTTTTGTTGTTGTTAATGGTTTTGTTGCTCGTATGTTTCTTGTTTGTGTTTATTGTTGGTATTTAGCTGCTTGGTTTTCTTGGTATATTTCCATTGTGTTTCCTCTGTAGTTGTTGTGGTATTTATATAGCCGTCGGTCGGGGCTGTTTCTGGCTATTTCAGGGGTCGTTCTCCCGGTTTTGATTTACTCGGGCCATTCGGCTGTTCGTGTGACCTGAAATCCCGGGATGGTTCAGTCTCGGGTTGCTTGGCCGAGAATCTCGACCGGTAACTAGCGCGTGGCCTCCACACGCGCTATTTGCTTCTTCGTGCGACGCCCTTCCTTTGATACAAAACCCTAACCGGTTGGGCTAGGTCAAGCCCACTAACCGGGTATGCTTTGTTGGGTCAGGCTAGTTTGGCTTGGTAGGGTCCCTTTACTGGTCTGGACTGGACTCTTTAGACTTGAAAATATATATATATATATATATATATATATATATATATATATATATAATAATAATAATAATAATAATATAATAATAATAATAATATAATATATAAGGTAATGAAAATATATGAACATATAATATATAACTATATAACTATATAAATATATAATATATATTGTGTTTTCAAAAAATCGTTTTTAAAAAAAATCCATATATATATGTTTTCAAAATACGTTTTCAAAATTATATTATATACGTTTTCAAAAAGGTTTTAAAAACTATATATTATATATGTTTTCAAAAATGTTTTCAAAACCATATATTATACGTTTTCAAACATGTTTTCAAAACCATATAATATACGTTTTCAAAAATGTTTTCAAAACCATATGTTTTTAAAAATGTTTTCAAAACTATATATTATATACGTTTTCAAAAACCTTTTTTTAAACTATACATTATATGTTTTTTTTAATTATTTCCAAAAACTATATATCATATATTTTTAAAAACCATATTTAAGACCCCAGACGGAAATAAGTGTCTACAAAATGTTAATTGTTTTTTACATAACCATGTATTTGCTTCCTCTTTTTTATAGATTTTTATTAGTTCTGGCTGTTAGCTTAATTTAGATTTTTTGTTTAGAAATTTAGATTAGACTCTTTAATTTAGTAAACTTTCAGTTTAGCTACTTTTCAGGTCCTATTTTAAGTAATTTTACTTATTTATTTTAGCCACTGTTTGACTTTAGTTTAGTAAATCTTAACTATCACTCATTTAACCAAATCAGAATTACAAATCCCATTAGTTTAGTTATTGTGTAGATTTTAACTGAAAATGTTTTAGTTTAGCATTGTCCTTTCATTAAATTTTTGTGAATTACCTTAGTTAATAGTTTGTTGATATATATAGTATACTTATAAGTTCCTTTTCCTACTAAATAATACGGGGATATTTTTAGCATTATTTATCATATTTTATGCAAGTATAATCTATATAATACACTTGTAATGCGAAATAAATTTAATATATTTACCTTTGAAGTACTATACTTATGAACTTTTTAATATATTTATTAATGCTATTCCATTTTAATAGATTACATACGTTTCTTTTCAAAATGCGAAATATTAATTAACCGATGAGAATTTTTCTTATCTTAGATGTTAGGCGTCAAAAACCCTCAATTTTATCCGTATTCCGGATTAAATATCAAATTTTAACTTTTATTATTTAACAAGTATTCGAGGAGAATGTGGTAGTCTTAGATGTTAGGCAAACCGAAGTCTTTCGAATTTATTTTATTATAAATAATAAACTTATACTAATATTAATTTTTTTCATCATTCTTTTTTTTTAAAAATAGAATCGTTGTTATTCGAGGTGAATTTTTCTTGCTTTAGAAATTAAGCAAATTAAATTCTTCCGAATTAGTTATAATTTGAATTTTATTTTTGTATACACCTTTACTTGCTCCGTCATAATTATTTAAGGTTTAGAGACTTATTTAGATAATTTAGCACTTGAAGTTAGGATTAGAGAATATTTGTTTTTTAGAATCTAGAATGGTTAGTTTTTAGAATCTAGGATAGTTAGTGGCCTCTTTTTTATGTTATATTTCTTCACATTTAGATCAAAGAAACATGTCATATATATCTAATGTCTTTGTCATGCTTTTCAAACGGGGTATGTTCTCGAATTAATTGGATATTCGATATCTTCTAGATGTTGTAGGATTTCGAGGTTATTTAACGAGAGAATATACTTTTGATTTTTTTCTTTCTTTCATAAAAAAGTAATCATGGAATTTTCGACTTTGAGGAATATTTCTAAATTTTCTTAGATGTTAGAAGATTTCGAGATGTTTTAAAGAGTGGTTGATTTCAGTTTTTTAGCGTAATTCATAGAAAATAATACATTAACTGTATTCATAGTCCAAACAAAATATTGTGATCAAGTGAGCACCGTTTTTGCGAGCGTTATTAGGGTATTAGCCCTTCCTCACACGTAACTGTGCCCCAGAAATTAACTTTGGTTTTTTACAGACCTTTTGTGATCCAATTACACCTAAACTAATTGGTGGCGACTCCCAACATTTTTTAAAGTAAGTAAATAAAAAAAATTTATTCGTAAAAAAATAGTGCGTACGATAGGCATTCTAAATAAATGACATGAAAATTTTGACTACATTTAATATGATCTTTAAATTCAAATATATATTCCAATTATAATTTTAACTTTTTTGTTGGTTCATTATATAAATTTCAACTTTTTAAAACCTTTTTGTGTAAGGCAGCATTTTAACTTCTTTTAGAACCTTTTGCCCAATGCAACAAGAAGTAAATCACTAATGGAATTGAACACCCCATCTGGGACCACTTTTACAATTATTGCTAGAAGCAAATGATGGATGAAGATTTTATATTCGAGAATAATTTTGTAAAATTTTAGGGGATAAAAATAAAAAAAATTTAAAATATATAAAAATTTAAAATTTACACGAAGACTATCATTCCCCCAACCCCAATCCGACCCCACCTGGTCCAGCCCTGCTAAGTCTTATTCAACTCCTACTGTAAACTTCAAAACTATGGTAAAAGGGCAGTCTCATCAAAGGACATTGTAGTGTACGAGTGGCTCAATTCTCTAGGTCAATGCTCCATCAATTTTGTGCCCAAAGTACTCCATTCATAGTTGACCAAACACACGGCCCTTAACCTTCAATGGTCCCCCCCCCCAAATTTTACATTATTTATTCCGAGCAAAACTGGACAATAATGCAGTCTATCACATGATTTGCTGGTTACTCCCCGACAACTATATCTTGAGGGCTGCCATCATCTCTGTAGTTTTATATGACATGCCTTGAAGTTAAAACCAAACAAAACCCACTTCTTTAACAGAGGGTATATTCATGAATTATTCCGGACTCGACTTGTCAGAAATTCCCGGGTTTTACTTTGGATCGATTAAGTTTAGCAAAGGTGAGGCGGCATGAAAAAATATGCAACTAAAATGCATGCAAAACAATGTTAAAAGCAGAATAAGACATCATACAAGTATCATTACCAGCACACAATAGTTGATACAATCAAGGTTTACAGATAATGTGGAGGTCTTTCACCATAGAGAACACACGACTTGGTCCGGACTCTAAATCAATTGAATCGTAAAACCACTCACAAACATTTTCTTGATGGTTTTATATATATATAATTTCAGTAGGAATCCCCTCGGCAAACAAAGATATATGTTGCAACATATAGATAAATGGGATCTCCAATCCGCGCCAGCATCCTCTCATCTGATCGGAAAGAATCTTTTTTCCATGAAGGCTGCTGCAGTGGATAGCAAAATCAACTATGGTGCAAGCTAGCTCTGATTCCTGCATTTTTTTTCATGGAATTACATTCAGACAGCATTAGTGTTTCTTAATTCTTCAAAATCTGAACACTCCACTATAATTTACATGTCATGAAACACTGCCAAGATTTTAAGTGAAAGTTTAGTACATTAGATGAAAAATTTATAGTTTGAAGGCACAAAAAAATGTTTTTGTAAACATTAGAAGAATAGGAGAATTCTCGACACTACCGTCATGTATATCTAGGCATTTCTAATTCTTCAAAATCTGAACACTCCACTAAATTTACATGTCATGAAACCTGCCAAGATTTTAAGTGAAAGTTTAGTACATTAGATGACAAACTTATAGTTTGAAGGCACAAAAAAATGTTTTTGTAAACATTAGAAGAATAGGAGAATTCTCGACACTACCGTCATGTATATCTAGGCATTTCACATAACAATATCTAAATTATAAAAAAAATGGCTTCAATACTAGCTGATACCAAGAAAAACAGTTGATGTTTAAACATATAAAAATAATTACCAAGTCCAATGGCATCGGAGCTTTTCATGATCCTCAGCCTTTTGCAGGTATCTATAAACATCCTGAAACAGGTACCAAATTTGAATTAGGCAGCAGTTGACTGTCATTGTTCCAGTTGAAATTTGGGAAATAAATATTAATAACATGAATTTCCTAATGCAGCAACATGTTCTGACTTGGATTAAGGCAGACAAAGGGTAACATAACTGGACCATTAAAAGTTCAAGAGAAGAAAAATTGGAATCTATTTCCAAAAATTTTTGCAGATCAAGCAACATGAATTTTAATTTTTCCCATCTTGAGATAAGCTAAGCATACATGTCTGATTGATGCAATGGTTTTAAGATCCCTTTTCTGGAAGATGGTTAACTAAATAAAGGGGGCACACAAATTGTCCAACAAATGATACATGTATGCATAGCTAATGAACAAGGGTTCCTTTCTGTTTAAAAGGGCGGGCTCCCTCAAAAATCTTATAGATAATATATGGAGCAGATCTTGCACTTTGTACTCATCCTAACTGATTCAGAAATGTTCTTACATCTTAGCATTTCTTTACAAGCTCAACACAGACCCAAAAGCTTGACAGTAGATTGCTAAGCGGCAGAAACAATTTTTGTTGTCGATTCTTATGAGTGCGTTTTGTATGATCACACCATCAGTTAGCATGTTTTTACTTTATCAGATGTAAAATGCTGACATTTCCCTGATAACCTAAAAATAGATTCTTTTAACAGTGACTAGATGTTTCTAAAGTATCAATATTGTGATAATTATTGGTTTGATAGGAAGGACACAACTAGAAGCAAAACTATGAAAAGGGAATTAAAGCTCACTCCCACGGGACATCACCCACAAGCATCCAGTCACCATCTTTATCCTCATAAGTAAGAACATATTCTGATCTATGCAGCAGATCCTCCATCTTGCTTTCACTCAGCAGCTCCCTACCCGGGGTTCCATGAGATCCACATTGATCTGAAATCATAGTAAAATAGTAGTAACTGGGTCCATGCAAACCAAAACTACTGTCTTTGTATCAAACTATCAATCACAGTTGCAGAGCACAACGTACATATGAAGTCCACAACCTAAAATATTTATATTGAAATAACTCACCTAGGGTAAAACATCTGAACATCTTCTCGAGTGCAGAAGACAACTCCTGATATTTATAGTAATTTCTCAAATCCACTTTCCTTAAATAAGGAGCACCGTCCATGCTGACCTTAACAAACAGAGCACCTGGCCCTACCTTTCCATCTACTTCATCAGTGTTCTTGGAATTAGAGGCCAATGAGTTCTTCCTGAATGATCTAATAGGAGGCCAACCCACAACCTGTGCCCTGCAAACGAAAGATGATCATATAATCTTATAAATGTTAAACCCAAATTTATAACAGAAAACCAAGCATGCGTACTTGCTAACTGGTGCTTCACTGTTATTGTTTGAAGTCACATTAGGATCAGGCATGATATTCTTAGCAGCATGGGGTCTATCATGTACCACATTCCGGTTCGTGATCTCTTTGGCTTTTGTTGATTGAGGCCCAAGGTTCTCAAGCACATAACCTGATTTCAGTCCCAACTTTGAAGAAGGCCTGGATGATGGCATCACACTTACTTTTGAATTTGAAAGAAAATCCCCCTGCAACATAGATTATACTTTGCATGTTATATTTGTTAACATTAGTCTCGGTATTCATAAATCGCAATAGTTGCTACCTCGGGGAACTCATCCATTGCATCGGAGAACCTTCTTTTGTTGCCTGAAACAATAGTCTTATGCAATGCAGTGCAGTGACCATCACTAGAAGGATGCAAAGGGAAAAGTGGTTTCTCATCGAGTTGAGCTGTGCTTAGCAAGCAAAGATCCTGATTTATTTCGAGCATCTGGGATCCAGGAAGCCCAAGACTAAGCTCGGTTGCCTTCAGATTCAAACTAGACTTGCTTTGTTCGGATGCAAGGGAGACAATAGAGATATCCATAGGAGTACAATCAGACAAGCCCATGTAGTTGCGTTCCTTCAATTCAGCATTATTCTGACACACGCTATCCACGGAGCCTGAAGAATCCAGTGAAGTTATTTTAGTCAGACCCCCTTCATCCTCCACACTGAGCAGTGGCGGAGACATCGGAATTAACACAATCAACAGTTGACAGCCTGCTTGATTCAAAGATAACAGAAATTATTATTTGAAGATGTAAAGAAGCTAGAGCTGCATATTTAAAGCAATATCTGGCAACGGGAACCTATGAGTAATTATAAACTATCCTCAAACAGATTAAACAACAGAATTTTAAGTAGATCTTTATGAAATTAGAGAAATTAGGGGGAAAGATCAAATAAAACAGCGTGGATCAAAGTACGAGAAACATCACCTTTTCAAATTAAAAAAAAAAAAACTCCCATGAAATTATTGAGCGAAGAAAACAACTATATATACAAATTGTAATTACCATACAAAATATCAGACAAATTGTTTCACTTGAAATTATAGAGGTGCATTTAAAGTATTTTCTGCTTGGCAAATGTAAATGCATGCAATGATGCAAGAAAAAAGAAGAAGCAATAAACCAGCACGCGCCAAAAGAAGGGGGTAAAAGCAAAATGATAATACATAAAAGACTCAAATAGTTGTAGCATGTTTGCCTACTGAGAAAATGGTGAGAAAATTGGTTTTTAAACTACAGCTCCTAAAGCTCAAGACCAAAACTCAAGAGCTGAGCTTGAATCTTCAACTTACGAAGAAGAAAACTAACTCAAGGGAGATTCCTGCACTTTTTACATTTTCCCCTTTAATTTTTCGTCAGCTTCCCACGAAACAAACATCACTAACTAAAAGAAACCAAACATTAGCTAAAATAACAAAAAAGAAAGAAAAAAGCTGAAACAAATTTTTCCCTTAGAAACATGAAAAGGAAAAAAGAAAGATTACCCGATGGGATTGGTGGATCGGACAGTAAGGAGAAGATCAAAATCAAATTAAAATTCCTTCGTATTTTGGTTTGATTTTCACTTAGAACTCAGGGGCAAGCAAAAGAAGAGGAAAAAGTATAATACTTTTTTTTAGAGAGAGAGAGAGAGAGAGAGGAACCTAAGGACCCTCCATTGCACACACAAAGTAACAAATGCTTGTTTCCTTCAGACGTGAAACTCTATGCATTAAATTAAATACACTTCTCCAACAATTCATTGGTCTAACAGACTAGAAGTTAAGTCTTTTTAATTAAAATTATAGAATCAATATTAATTTATGAAAAGAATAAAATAAAATTTTACAATATTTTATTTAAATTAATTGATTAATAAATCAAATATTAATAAATAAAATAAAAACAATTCAATATATTGCAAAATTAAAATATATATTACTCTTTAAAATGATTTTTTTACAAAGTACAATCAATTAAATCATGATTTAATTTATAAATAAATTTATTTGTAAACATACCTTAATTTGATACAATGCAATTTATTCCTTTTATTTTATTATCGGCTTATTTAATTTTCGAGTTTCAATTTTTTTTAAGAAAAATAAAGAAACAAAAAGAAATGGGATTTTACAAAATTCAAAACCATAATGAGAAGAAATGTGAGAACTTGTTTAGCCAAATATAGCCAATTCAACAACCCTACACTACACTCAGTGCTTATCTTATTATATATACTTTCTATTTTAACAAAGAGAGATTCCCTACATTAATGCATTAAAAAAAAAGTAAAATAGCTTCCTTTTTTTCTCAAAGAAAATACCCTATTATGTTTTTATTTAATTTTTTAAACAATTTGTTTATTTCTCAAAGGCATATTTCTTAGTGAAATGTAGGGTACTTATTATTTTTTGTTTTTATTTTCTTAATGATATAAAACATTACAGAAAACATGTTTGATGTAAAAAAAATGAAAATGATTTTTAAAAGATATAAATAAAAACAACTGAAAATAGAAAAATAGTAAAAATGTTGTTTTCATTGATTTCAACAAAAAAAGTTATGTGAATCGAAAAAAAAAATTTGAAAGCATTGATCTTTTAACTTAACAAATTTACCTAGATTCGAATTTAAGTAAACACAAAATTACTTAATTTTTGACATATTATAAATATTAAATTTATAACTCTTATTCTAATTTATATAAATACATACATTTTATCATCTTTTTATTGTAAGAAAACATGTAATCAAAAAATAATAAACGACTTAGTTTAATTTTTTTTATTAAGTTAAAATGATTACAAATTAATATATGTTCTAAATATTCTCAATCATTTGCCAATCAACACCTCAGCCTAATTATTTAAAGAAATAAACAACAAAGGAAGAAGAGAAAATAGGGAACCAGAAATAGTGTAAAACACATATGGAGGTCATCATGTAGGTTTGGTTGTGGGATGATTGCGAATAATATATTTATATTTTTTAATATTTAAATCATTATTTAAAAACTAAATTTATTTACTATCACATAAAAGTAAAACCACAATTTCTCTTTGAAATGAATTATAAAAAAAATAATCATATATCTGTATTCACTGAATAATCGACTTTAGCAAATAAAAATTGATTTAACAAAAAAATGTTTAAAATAAAACAAATATTATATCATAATTGCACAAACCAAATTATTTTATTGGTTAAAGGAATGATTATCATTTTTAAAGGTCTCAAATTCGAGTATCAACGACTACAATATGAACGATTAAGAATTTATTACCAAATAATTAAGAATATTTAGAATATATATATTTTATAATCATCTTAACTTAATCAAAGAAAATGATAGCACAAATCAAAATAATTATTTATATTAAAAAACATATTTGAATATTTAAATACGAACGCAGATGGTAATGAGTGGAGTGGAACAACTCCCAATTCAAGAAATTTACATTAGTCATTCAAAAGTTATAAAATAAAATCAGGTCCTCAATTTATAGAAATTAAAATTAAGCCCCAAAACTTTTGTCTATTTTCAATTGGTCTGAATTTTTTTGAGAATTCTTATTACTCTCATAACATTTATGAGTTTTTTTAATTTAAACCCATATCCTTATTTAAAAAAAACCTTCTTGGGTCATTTATGGGTGTGCTTTGTTTTTTGACTCAGTTTATCTCGAGATTATTACTTCTGTTGTATCAAACGATATTATTTTTGGGTAATATATCTTTATTGGTACTCTTTTCCCCTTATAGGTTCTAGAAGGGCTTTTAATGAGGCCCATTTTTTTCAAAAAGAAAAAAATTATTGGCATAAACTACATCCATGACCATTTAACTATTAGGAGATTTCAATGATATCATCGATCTTTTAAATTTTATCAATAAAATCATTTAATTATTTAAAAGATATCAATCAAGTCACATGCTTAACATTTGACGAAGGAGCTTACGTGAAGTTAATAAAATTGATATAATTATATATTTAGTTCTCATTACTTACGTATTCTATCAATTTAGTAATTAAACTAATTTTATTAACTATCACACCAACTCTTCTGTCAAATGTTAACGATAAGCGACTTGATTGACAAAATTAAAAGATTCATAGTTAGATTGACAAAATTAAAAAACCACTGATCAGATTAAAATATTCGAATAATTAGATGATTATAGGTATAGTTTACCCAGAATATGATTAGAAAATGCAAAATCACACAATTAATGGAGAGGGGACAAAGAAAAACAGAAATGAAGATATATATGCAAACGGGGTGGGTTGGGGGACAAGAAAGCGGCTTTTCATTTTAGTTTGCCGGCATTTAACTAACTCACGCCCATGTTTTTCTTTCCCCGCATCCCACTTTCACGCGCCTTTGTATCGCACCCGTAAACACGCACCAATCAATGAACAGAATGCATGGGGAATGTGTGACTGAAACTGAGATTGTTGTGGGCTCCCCCTGCCTTCGACCGAGTTTTATGATAGTGTCCGAAGAGGACGGCACGCGCGTTCATGTGTTTATTTTAAATAATTAGATAGGACATAGGGTTCAAAGCAAAATAACACGTGTCAATACACAGTTAAAATTGTTTACATTTGTGTTCTTTTACATTTCAAGTATTTATACCAACACCGATTAAATTATTTCGGTAATAAAAGAATTATTGTTATTTTTTAAAATTTTGAAATTAAGCATAATTCAGACTTATAAGTATTTAATGTCTAATTGTTAAAAATTATATTTAAATAAATATTATCTATTATTTACTCTAGATTAATAAAAAAAATTATTTATAACATGAGATAAAGAAATTATTTATAGCACGAACCAAATATTTAAATGGGTTAAAAAGATATTTGTTCTATAAGAATTTTAAGTTCGAACATGATATATGTAGTGATATTTAAATGTTTATTATCAATTTATAGATACATTTAAACACATCATTTTTGTAATTATCTTATATTAATAAAAAAATTATATAAATACAAGTTAAGATTAGTACGAATAAAGTGTATTTATGTTTCTTTTATTTATAGTGGTTTAGGGTCAAAACATGTATTAAGAATCTTTTACTAAATAAATGTAAATAAAACAATAATGATACTTTAGATTTTCATTACAAAATAGAAATATTTAATTACTTTTGAAATTCATGATTATCACTCTAAGCAATGTTGTCGTTTAAATCTAGATTATTTCTTTTTAGAATATAATATATATATTATCACTATATCAAATATTTGTTGGAATTTAACAATTATATTTAATTTAAGTATATATCAATTTTGTACGAACCAAATGAACTTAATAATAAAGGAATTGTTGTTATTTCTTGAGGTATCGGGTTCGAGCATAATGAATGTAAGGGTTACGAGCATTCAATGACAAATGATTAAGAATTATCTTAGAACATATATTATTTTATACTTACCATATATTAATATATATATATATATATCAACCGTATGAATTTAATAAATTGTTTTTATTTGAATTTGATTAATTACCATTATCTCTAAGGTTAATAAGAATAAATTTATTAAAATATCAAACTAAATAAATAAAAGTAAAAAATAAATAATCTCAAAACTAATATATATTATTAAAATTAATTTTAAAATATTTAACTTTTATTTGCATAAAAATATTAAAATATAGATAATGCAGATATGTTTAACATGCTATAAGAGAAGTCTCGAAATGACGAAACATTATCAATATCACAACTCATTAAGAGTCTGCAGGAAAAACAATGGGAGCTTACTATTACTAAAACTGTTAGGTCCACAGGGTACCATCGGATAAAATAAGAATAATAAAATACAAGATAAAAGTATTTAGTTTAGCTCAGAAGATTTATTTCATTCTTTATAAAAATAATATTAGAACATAAAGGGAAAAAAAGAAAAAAAATTATCATGGTAATTTTCTAAAGGCTTAATTGGGTAATTCTGTTATTACAGTATTTCAAAATTAGTAATATTTTTACTTTTTTTAAGGGTAAAGTATAGTAATGGTCACTGAACTTTTCTAAATCTTTCATTTAGGTTCTCCAACTTTTAAAACTTGCAATACAGTCCCCAACATTTAGTCCATTTGCAAAATGGTCCCCCAACATTTAGTCTGTTTGCAATATGGTCCCCAACAATTTGACGCAGTTACACTGCAGTTAACACGTTTGCAATATTGTCACTGAACTTTTCAGGTGCTTGCATTTAGGTCCCCCAACTTTAAAAACTTGCAACATAGTCCTAAATTTCATTCTAAACCCCAAATTCCTTTTCGGTCTCAAATTTCCTTTTTCGCTTCTCTCTTCTCATTTCCAGCGTAACTTTTCAGTCGATGATGCATGGAAAATTCTAATCTAACTTTGAATTATATGGAGGTGTTGACTCGAATAAGGGTCAATTGAGAGAAGACCCGACCAAGGGACTATCGGGACCATCAACGATTCAAGGTGTAATGTTAGATACATGTCATCTCAAGTGAAGCATAGATATTCGATGAAATACTTGTGACAAGAAAAATGGGGTTAGAAATGCAGAGTTGAAAAATACTACTAAGATGAACTAAGTATCATTGTTGAAAGTCACCAACAAAGCTGGAATTATTTTGTATAAATGAC